ACAATTATGCCATCTATTATCATCAAAAACGTTTCTGCAACGAGGCACAGTAGGAAACGCTAAGAACAGCAAATCATGGTTTGCGGGTTGCCTACCTCGTCCCCTGGGACCCCTGTGCACCAAATTTTATCCTTTGACTTGCTAAGGGTCTACAAGTCCGTTTTAGGTTCCCTTTGAGTCGAAATGACGGTTCAAGAGTTGACATGTACGACGAAAATGCCCTTGGGTCAAATTGGCCCGCTCGGCGCTTTACGGTTATCCGAAAACCCGGCGCTTCTAGTGTTAAGTCAAGTTGGTCTAGACTGGCACGTATTCCCTTATACCACATTGAGCCACCTGAAGCTAAATCAGAAATATCAAAATCATAATCACAATGAAAGGGTGTGGTATAGGTTAAAGGCATATTGGGGAACACAACATTTAAACGATGCAGCAAATCATTCAGCTTGGACATGGAGAGAATTCCTGGTTCTTGAGCCCATTCCCGAACAGTATCGATGACATGGCACTCTTTGGCAGCATCATCTTGGAATTGAGGAGGAGCGTCATCATCACTGCCCAGTTCTTCTTCACTTGCTTGAGGATTAGACTCTGCCTCAAGGGGAAATTACTTTGAATTTTGGTGTACATGGCCGTGAATTTCATGAATTTTTTTGAAATATTTGAATTTTTGTTGAATTTTTTGAATTTTGACAAATTTCAATGAATTTTTGCGAATTTTCATGATTTTTTTTGAATTTTGATGAATTTTTTTGAACTTGGCTGCAGTTTTTGAATTTCATGAATTTCAATGAATTTCTATGAATTTCTCTGTTTTTTAATGAATTTTGGTGAATTTCAATGAATTTTTGAGCCTTTGATCGCCGAGGGCATCTCGGAAGCATCCAAGAAGTGGGCTGCAACGTCCTCGGGAGTCTGTGCCTTCATCGCGCAGTAGTGGGTTGGTCCAACGAATGTGTCAGATCCCTCTGTTTCATCCGACCCGTTCGGACGCGTGAATGCAGGCGCTGCCATACTCGGCGCCCCACCGCCCACGTCTGTCCGTCTTTCCTGCGTGAGACTTGGAGAGGGTGTCAAATGCGATCAAGAAAAAACATTCGTTTGTTCATCCTTTGGTGTGAATATATTGGCGTGTTTCCGTCGCGTTGCTAACACGCACTCACGTGCGCTCTCTGAGCGGCCGGGGGCCGTCCGAAACACATTCCACAAGGATCGAGAAGGTTTTCTGTGAAGAACGGCGAGGACAGAGGACCATCCCCCAAAGAAATGACACTGTTAACAGATGTCCCCGCAATTAGGCAAGGTCGAGGAGCCCGGCCGGGGAGGGGGGAGGGGGCGGCGGCGGAGGCGGCGGCCCGCCTCCACCACGGGACGCCATTCATTGACACCGAGCCTCCTTCGGCCGCCGCGCCTTCAAAATTGACCCACAAGTTCCAACTCAAACAAAATTTTGGACCGTGTAGAGGCGTGAAAGACGCTTGCGTAGTTTTAAAAATTGTAAAATTTAGGACTAGAACACCTGTGCTTTGGTAAGAGTCAGAGTAGTAGCGCCAACACACCGGTAGCCATGCTCAGTTTTCATCTGCTATGTGGCACTCGCGGGCTGCAGCGTTAGCAATCAAGAGAGACCTCCTCCCCTCCCCCCCCCCTTTCTCCTCACAACCACACGGTCTCCGCGAGGGCTCCCCTCACGTTTTCGTACGCAGGTTTAAATCATGCATCCCATCTTAAATTAACGAAAATTCATTGAAATTCATTGAATTTTAGTGAGTTTTAATGAATTTCAGTGAACTTTGACACATTTTGATGAATTTTGTACACTTTTTTAATTTTTGCACTGCATTGAATTTTATGAATTTCAGTGAATTTTGAAGAATTTCGATGAATTTTGGTGAATTTTTTAATTTTATGAATTTTACTGAATTTTTTGAATTTTGTTGAATTTTTTTGAATTTTGCATTAGGTGTACACATTTTTTCGGAGTAGTTTCCCCTTGCTCTGCCTCAGATCCTGAATCCCGCTCAAAAATTTCATTATCATGCAAGTCCTCCTCACGGTCACCATCCTCACCATCAGTCGAAGATTCACCTTCATCAGCAGCACATTCAGCAGCACGGTCATCGACAGCCTCACCACCACTGGAAGAACCACCACCCTCACCAAAACTCTCTTCTTGAGGTGCCTGAACTTCTCCGTCTGACTCTGAAGATGAGTGATGCCTGTGAATGTCAGCTAACAGTGCATCTAACCGAGCCCGTTTATCAGTTTCCTTCACAGCCCTGCGATGCAAACACTGTTAGAAATTCTGTCGTAAATTAGCGACAAAAAAGTCGCTAATTTTGATAGCGACGGAAATCGTTCCTAAACTACTTCGTCGTAACTGAACGACTAAGAAATCATTTCTCTACGACAATGTCGTAATCACGATTACATATTTTGACACCTGAAATCCCCGAAAAGGAGGTGAAAAGTTACAATTTTGCTCACTTATTTACGATTTGTGTCGTTCATTTACAATTTATAACACAAATTTACGACAAAAAGTCGTAAATGTACGACTAAAGTCATAACTGCACGACATATTCCAAAGATAATTGACAATTGTTCGCAAACTTACGATTAAGTCGTAAATTTACGACTTAATTCGTTTTAAAACGAAACGTGTCGCCATCAAAATTAGCGACAAATATATTCCGAAAGTTACGGAATTTTGTATCATTTTTGATGCAGGATTTTGTATCACCTGCATTGGTTACAAATATTTGTATCAGTGATATAGAATTTTGTAACAGATGTGCCGGTTACAGAAAAATAAATCATTTCGGAGCTTGATACAGAAATTTGTTACATGAAGGTTACAATATTATGTTTGTAACATAACTGATACAGAAAATTGTAACTGGATACTAAATTCTGTATCAGAGATTAAAACAGAATGTTTTAACGGCAAAAATTGAACAGCAGTGCCCATAGAGACAAGTTAAACTTAGAGTTTACATGTGCTTTCATTTTTCCCGACTCTGAATAAGAGATTTAGTCTCGTGTATGCTTGGCAGGCAAGGCCTCCGTCCCTAACCGCGCGCGCTTCAGGTCACCGGCTACCTGCGCCGCTCCCTCCACGGCGTCCGCACAGCGCAGTTGGTAGCGTGGCGGGCCGCCATCCCAGAATCTGGGGTTCGCTTCCCGACTTCTCAGAGTAAATCTGGGAAAGTTGCGTCTCGAAAAATGGCAGAAAGTCCTTCAAACAGACCCACGGGGAGTACGTCCGAGCAAAATTCTCATTTTGAAGCTTGATTTGGAAGAACAAGGACTGTTTACAAATTTTGTAACCGTTACGAAATTCTGTAACCAAGTTACAAAGAAAAAAACTGTATCCATCGTGATACAAATTTCTGTAACACATGTTATTGAAAAAGCTGCGTAACCATGTTACAAAATTCTGTACTGATTTTTTTTAGAGTATATTTCGGAAAACATTTGCATCAATTACAAGAGGGACGCTTACCTTTCTTTGAGCGAAGACTAGAAACCATTGTGGCGAGGGGGGACCCACTGCCCCAAAAAGTGTACAACTGAGTGTAGAATGTGTAGAATGTGTTGAATGTGTGAGAATGTAAAGATTGTAATGGAATGTACTGATTGTAAAGATTGTCTAGAATGTGTGTGAATGTTACAGATTGTAGTGAGAATGTGACAGAATGTGTCAGGAATGTTAGAGATTGTATGAGAATGTGTGAAGATTGTGTGCTGAATGGGCATGCGGCCGACGTCTCTACATAGCGCCGTGAAGGTAGGCAACCAATTTCACGCCTGAGCTAGTCAACCGTTCATCATGGTGTTTCTTTGCTTAAATCTTGCTTTGTCGCATGAGGTTGCCAGATTTTGGACAACTCCTTTCATTCCTTAGTCGTGCTCATCCAGGGTGGCTGGACCCCCTGAGAAACTGCGGAGGACGGTCAGATTTAGTCACAAACACGCAGAGCGGCTAATGTTCAAGTGACGCACAGTTTAATAAGCATTATCTCAAACTGCCAGTTCCAAACGTTTTTTTTTTTTTTTTTGGGGGGGGGGGGGGGTAGTTTTAAACGACTCTAGTCGTGCTCTGGCTTACGTTATGAAAGGATTCAAATTTGAATGAAAAGAAAACTGAACTTAAGCAAAGAGCAATGTAAATTAACACTTGCAAGTGACAAACCTTATCTATAACCAGTAAACTATATCCTGTCCTCGACCCGGGGCTGGGACTAGGCTGGGGCTTGGCTGACTCGACTTCGACAGAGTTTCGCGCGCTCCAGGGACGATCCCGACGCGAGCACGGGCCAGCGGCTCCGTTCGGATTCGGGACGGACACGAACTACCGCACTGGAGGGAGGGAAGTACTACTAGAGCTGAAAGGAATGTAAACCTAAATCGAAGTTATTAGACTAAAATAAATATTTTTTAGGGGACTGTCATTGAGAATGTGTAAGGAATGTGCAGAGAATGTGTTAAGAATGTGTCCAGAATGTGACTGAATGTATGAGAATGTCAGAGAATGTACAGCGATTGTGTGAGAATGTTAGGGAATGTTAGCGAATGTTACGAGTGCGGTGGATTGTGGCTGATTGTTTTGATTCTATGAGAATGTGTGGAATGTGTCTTGAATGTGAGTGAGTTTTTCGGGAGTTGGGTCTCAGGATGTACAACCAATGTGCCTAGTGGGTCCCCCCTCGATTGTGGCGTCACGGCGTCGGTCGGGGAGGAGAAAAGGCGGCAAGTGAACACCGAAACAAAAGAAAGATGATTGGCATTACCAAGAGCAGAACAGCGCAATATTAGCTCCTTATAGTTTTGATTCAACGTTTTGATATCAATCATGAATACCAAAGGAAATCAACTCAACATAAAATCTTGTAAAAAAACGGAAGCGTTATAAAATAACGATAAACACACCCATTTGATCACGGCGACATTTCTGTCAGTTACGCGCGGCAAATGTTGGCAATGCGCGGCGGGTAAAATTAAAAGGGGCAGAGTCAAAAACTCTTTTCAGGCATCTTCAAAATGTAAGTTTTGTTTGAAATATGAGTATATAACATTCCTTCAGACTTTATTCTAGAATATCTTGGACCACACACGATGACAAAAAACAAAATGCTCGTCGAAACTCCTAGAGTATGCACAACCGATCGAAAATGGGTCTCAGGCCTTCAAAACTTCCCTCTGACATCCCACGACGACTTCACGATATATAAGGATGCATGGAATATTTCGACATCTAATCGATGTTGATTCGACCTAGGGGTTATTTTGAGGTTTCAGCGATGAAGTAGAGGTCAAAACTCAGTGGGGATGGTTCCAGGTTGTTTACACATTGTAAAAAACACATTTTCGACTCTCTCGAAACTTATCGATTTTCGATGTCTCTATCGACATCGCCAGATTGTCGACGGTGTCGACATTGAATCGACATCAAATCGACCTTTCATTTTCGGCTGGGGTAAGCATCCTTGAGATCTAGACTGGTAAAATAGGTACCGTCTGCCATGTTAGCAAATACATCATCAGGTCTTGGTAAAGGATAGTGACCAATTCTGAGCTGAGGATTGAGAGTTTTTTTGACATCAGCACACTCTTATCCTTATTCTGCACAACTACACCGGGTGAAGCCCATTCTGCATGACGCACTGGGATGATTTTACCCGATGCTACAAGCTCATTAAGCAGTTTAGTAACTGTTTCAACTAGACCAAAAGCAAGACTGTAGGCCTTTGCAAGCACAGGAGTGGCATTAGGTTTAAGAACTAAGCGGGCCTTAAACCCTTGAATAGCAACATCGTTATGCACATCAAAGATCCTAGGATACAACTGTTTTAGTTGATCAACAGAAGGTACAGGTAACGATAACATTTTGTGAATTGAACCAGTGAACATAGCACGCCATTGTGGCACTAAAATATCTAACCAATTCCTATCCATGAGGGGTGTGAATTCAGGATTTAAAATACATTAAACAATTGAAAGCTTATGAGCTTGATTACCATAATTAACACCAACAACAGATTCCCCGGCATTCTCAATGTGCCCGGAAATAGCATGTAAAACTAAGTTAGATTGACTAACAATACTACTTGGAAACAAACGTTTAAAACAACTAAGTGGAATCACAGTAACACTAGCCCCAATATCAACTTCAAACTCCAAGTCTTTGGAATTTACTTTAACATTTAAATTAACTGGCGGACTAGAGGACAGTTGTTTTATTGACACAAACACATGTATAAGTTGCTCATCAGACAACGAATAACTTGCTGGTAAGCTGTACCGAGGTGTGGTGAGCAGCGTAGTAACCATGAAACACAGAGCACTTCGGTGACGGTTCAGGACCGTCAGCACGAATGCACACAGCAGGAGAAGGGTGGTGGCCAACAGACCCAGCTCCGCTACACTGAATGGGCTGGCAAGGAAGCACAGCAGAAACCACAGTATGCCCTTCTTGTGCCACCACTGCAACCCCGTAAACAAAACTACTATCAAAAGTAGTACTGTCGTACTACCATTTCGGAGCTCTGTACATCTCAAAATGTAGTACGGAAGGAGTACCTTATGAAACAAAAAAGGCATCCGAAAGAAGCACTGCCGTGCTACATTACAGGACGTCCCTTTCGGGAGCACTTCGGGACGTCGGAAACGGTAGGTCTGTGAGAGGTCTTTCGGAGGTCCCCCACCACCCGTCGCAGCGCCCTGCGGCCATGTAGTTCCGAAGGTGACCGCTAGAGCGCGCACCTGTGTCGTAGTTCGATGGCCTGCCGCTAGGGTGCGCCACTGTTCCGGATATGAATGTGAATGCGTATAGGAATGTGAATACGACACAGATAAACTGTTAGGAAAAATGTATTTATTCACTGACCTTTTTAAATTAAAAATCAAACGATAAGACTTGTCACGAACAACAAAAAATATGGAGACAAAAATGGTGGACAGGACTCAAAAACAAAATATTTAAAAGAGGAATCTCAGTTGGACTGAAAAGAAAATACAGCAACCCTAACTGTAACACCCCTTGATTAAAAATAAGCCAAAATGACTGAAAGAAATTCAATAAGCACTGATTCCAAGGTGTCATGCTTACTGTCGCAGGAAATTCACTTAATTTGACACTGAAGCACAGGAGTCAGTTCTTGTTCCACATGTAATTGCATAGTGGTGCAGGTTATCGTTCCAGAATCATGGGCAACTCCAGTGGGTCAAGGTTTCCGCAAAGAGCCTATTTCTCAAGCATCAGAAGACGAACAAAATAAACACTTTGACGATAAGAGTATCAAAGTAACAGAATATTGTAGGTTAACTTACACCGGCACTAGATGTAAGAAAGATGTAAGAAATAGAAGTAAGGATCCGACGCCACAAGCACAGTGCGCGCGTAAGTGCGCCGACTGTCATCTGCACAACAGGTGAGCATCGCGTGGGCCCGAGGCGCGCTCTAGCGGACACACTCGGAACTACATGGCCGCAGGACGCTGCGACGGGTGTGGTGGGGGACCTCCCAAAGACCTCACATAGACCTACCGTTTCGGACGTCCCGAAGTGCTCCAAGAACCGACTACTTTGGGACGAGCGACCAGGGCGCGCTCTGGCGGCAAACTCTGGCACCACACACTAGGTCCCCGCGCGACTTGCGAGAGACCTTCATTTGTAGTACGTTTAGGGAGGTCCCGAAGAGCTCCCAAAACCGACTTCTTCGGGACGTCCGAAAGACGTCGGATTCCAGACATGTACTAGTTTTGTTTACGGGGAATACATACGAAATACAAGAGTTAATGACAGTGCATCCCAAAAATCTGACTCAATTGCTTCATCTTTTTATGGTCAAAATGTAGAAGACAAGGGAGCCGGATTTCAAAAACACGTTTTATTTCGGTTTGAATCTTGAAAATTAGAATCATGACTGTCTTTATGCCGCTTTTGGACATTCATTGACCTGTAACTAAAGATTGAGATGTATTTTTGAAAAAACTCTCCTTTGTCTTCTGACACTGATCATCATCAACACACTGATCATTTTTAGCCGTCGCACAACATTCTACCTCTAACGGTCTCCGAGATATCCTGCGCGCAAGGTCAAACAAAAAGTTACTGAGAAAAACAGTTTTAAAGTTTAAGGGCCTAACCTTACAGTAATTTTACGAATTAAAAGATCCCTATGCCGATTTGATGGTGCTGTGGGTCCAAATATGGTCAGGTTTGGTTTACCAAGGTCCAAAGAGTCGAAAAAAAAGCAAAACCCGAAAATCGATTTTCTTCACTTTACTCCCCCCTTGAACCACAGAGGCCCGACTGAAACATTTCAAGGTAGTCAATAAGTTCGGTAATGCAAGAAAACAAAAACTCAGTTATCCCAACTGATTTGTATTTGTATTTTTTGTTTACTTTCAGGCAAGCCAAGATGTTCTCATTCCAGTAACATGAATTTAGGTAAAAGAGCGAAAAACTTTCTGACGCAACAAACCCATTGGACAACCTGGACGGCACGAGCACCTCAAAACCCTTGTCAAGGAATACACATTCCATTACTTTCGCATTGCACATCAATACAGCAGTTCTCGGGCGTGAGTTGACCGAGCACCAGCTGGATACACTACGCCACACATGCGAGGGCGGTGTTTTTGAGAACTGATCACGTGGCTCTAAAACAAATTTGCATCCAACTCGATGGAACTCGGCACCTTGAAAGAACTTGTTATGATGAGACAGGCTGCATGAGCTGCCATACCGAGAAGTCTGCATAATATTTGTAGACTGTCGGTAACAGTCGAAACATTATCTTTGTGTAGTCTGCGCCGCCCGCGCCGAAAGCCATCGTATCTGCACAAAAGCAAGTGTCCACGTGGACGCTCCGACCACGGAGAGCTTCGTTCTAGCCGCAGTTTGTTTATTTCTGCATTTTACGTCTATAAATTGTTGAGTTGGGTCGGGCATCCTTGGTTTTTTGGCTGAGCGATAGCGAAGCCCTTGCCGTGTTTGGGCGCGCTGAAAAGTGACTGGTCGTGCGTCTGTTTGTCTGTTTGTACTCACCAACGATTCTCAGCAACTACAGTGGCTATAGTTTCAAGATTTCGTATTTAACGTCGCCTTAGTACCCCCCAACACGAGTTTGTTTCAAATCATTGTTTTGTATCGTTTGAAATATTCAAAACATATTTTTGAATCCATCTATTCATAGTATACATAAATTGCATAGAGAAACTAATAGACAGCATGGGGGCATCTGCCATAGTCTATGTTGATGATACAACAGTTATAGTCACGGGTAAAACATGGGGAGAACTCAATGATAGGGCAACTGAAATCCTTTTGGCTCTTAAAACACTCTTCGCGTCTTTAAACCTGGAACTAAATTGGAGTAAAACGGTATATATGCTATTTGAGAATAATGAAAATGAATTTAAACTGGAACTAGAAGGTAATATTATTAGTCAAGTGGAAAAAACAACTTTTCTAGGGGTAGAGCTTCAGAAAAATCTAAAATGGGATGACCACATCAGCAAGCTAGAGAAAAAACTAAATAGTGGACACTTTATGATGTCACAAATATCACAGATAATGTATAAGAAAGATATCCTCAAGGTGTACCATGCACATTTCCACTCCCACCTTAGCTATGGAAGCATACTATGGGCTAATGAAAACGTTCAAAGGAATTTAGTCGAAAAAATTTTCAGAAAACAAAAAAGGGCTATAAAGATACTAGAATTTGGGAAGGCTAGGAGGCGTCAAAGCTGTAGAGGACTTTTCAAAAAATGGAACATCTTAACAATTAACTCAGTTTTCATCCTTCAAGCATCTATATATGCCCACAAATACTTCAGAAACATGGAAAATCACACAGTACATAAATACAGGACAAGAGGATTAAACAATATACATTTAGAACATAGACCCAGAAATGCACCAGATTTTACAATTAAAATTTTTTTTAACAATCTCCCAAATCACATTAAGAACGAAATAATTTTAAAGAAATTTAAATCAAAATTGAAAGCTTGGCTGATGAATAAAGAATTTTATAGGTTAGAGGACTTTTTCTGTGATAGGTTGGTACTGTGATCTCTCTGTTCTTCTTTTTTACCTCTCTTTTAACTACTGCTTCTAGAAGGTACAATGTGATTTTATTATTATTATTATTTTAGACCGCCAAATATCAACTTAATAAGGATAAAAATGACGATGTTCAAAATGTTTTTATTGTAAAAACGTATGTAAGAAAGAATGATAATAAAATACAATACAATACAAGGTCATTAGCGTGGTTAGGTTGGCAGCGCGGCAGCGCTTACCAATTTCTCATACCTGCGGGTCCGCGGCTCTCAAATACGGGACTTAAGCAAATAAGCAAATAAAACGAAATAAAGAGCAGAAGGGTTTGGAAATGAGATCGGCCTTAGTTTTTCAACATTCTAGAATGATTAAAACCCTTTTGGAACACCAACACAGCGAAATATGGAAAATGGATTCGAAAATGATTTACGTGTTTCGTTCCCCTCTCCCCCCTCCCCTGTCAGAGGGGAATCATCTTCGGGTCAGTGCACTTTGATAAAGCATTGTATAAAAAGGATGTTTTTATTTTGACCCTTTGGATTGTGTGCATCTTCTTGTTTCATTTTAGTGTCATCCTCTTTTTAAAATTTTCAAACTAGAGGAAATCAGGGAAATGCATAAATAACTTGTGTTGAAATTGGCAGGCATACTTAGTTTTGACTCGAGAAATTCATTCTATTGCAATGCTGCAAGCTGACAAGAGTCCAAAAGTACTAACATGAGTTTATTAATAGAATCAATATATGGTTGTGTATATTTAATCCTAATGGAGTTCGAATTGATATTGGTTTCAAAGAGACGACTCAGGTTTTGAGCGGTGAGTGAATTGGTGATTGGATTTAGTGAGACGATTCCTTTAACTTCACCGAAGTTAATATAACTGGTTGGCTGAGCGATAGCGAAGCCTGTTACTCCAGTGCGGTTGAAAAGTTTTTTCTGTCTGTCTGTCTGTGTGTCTGTGTGTGTGTGTGTGTGTACACTACTCCTCCTGAACGGCTCGGCCGATTTGGCTGAGATTTTGCAGGCTTATTAGGTATGTTCTTGGCTCGGCACACGCGAAATTTCACTATTCTAGCACAACTGGTTCAGTTTTTATGGCCGAAAAACACCTAAAAAAACGGCGAAAAATCGAGTTTTCTGCAGGCAGATCACTTCTGTCTTGAAGAAAGGGGGTCTGGGGGGCGGAGCCTCCCAGCCACGGGGAGTTACAAAGTTACAAGGGTCAAGATCGTGATATCTGTTTATGAAACAACTCTATCTAGAAGGAAGGGGGTCTGGGGGGCGGGGCCCCCCAGTATGCAACAAGTAAGAAGTCACCAACGATGGACAAGCCAGTGCCTGCCGAAGGCAGGCTAGTGCCGCAGGCCAAGGTAGGTACGCCAGGCGCGGATTGGAGGACCAGGCCGCGAGACATCGCGAAGCCTGTTACGACAAGACGCGGTCTGGCGTAAACCTACCTTGTACTACTCAGTATTGTTTACATGAGTAAGATAAATTATGTCGGTTCATTAAGCCTTGGGTAGCCTTGGCATTGGACTCTGTGACGAATCACTGAATTTGACAATAATTGGTCCCCGTTAACTGGTTCAGATCAGCCTACCCTAAACTGACTCTCTTAATATTTACTGTGTAACATGTTCCAACCAATATTCACTGGTTCACAATGAAAGAATGACAAAATGTTTCATAAATATAACTTATAAAATTGTAAGTTCATTAGTTAAGAAAAAAGAGTTATTGAATAGTGACCCAAGCACACGAGTAGCCAATTAAGCGATTCAATGCTGGCAATTGAATTTGGAGGGATTCGCTTTGGTGTGGCATCAGGAAATTGGTGACGACAGAGGGTGCTTCATGAAGACAAATAGAAACAATATACAGAAATTGAGTTTAAAGTATTGTATGTAGTTTGCAGTGTACTGGTCACAAAAACTACATTTATTTCAATGCCAATCCTACATTTTCATCTAGAGCTACGCAATTTGGGGGAAAACTTTCCAAGTTGAGATTTATGTATTTCCCTGTAGTTTTCAGTGCGCTGACCTCAATATTGACCTCTAAATTGTCCCCTAACCCAAAACTTAACCGCTTTTTGATTAAATTTTTTGAAATGAATTGTACAGTGATTCTTGCAGTTTTTTGAGTGCTGATAACGAAAATAACTCCCATTTTAACACCAGACCTATATTTTCATCACATATTCGGTCATTTTGGACCAAAAATGTCACGTCGAGTTTTATATTGTTTCCAGCAGTTTTTTGTGTGCTGAACTCGAAAATGACTTCCAAAATTTTCCCAGACTCACACTTACCCGAATTTTGACCAATTTTGGACCAACATTTTCAAATCGAGTCTGACGTTCATCCCAGCAGTTTTTGGTGTGCTGATAACGAAAATCACTTCTATTTCGACTCCAGACTTATATTCTCATCGCAAATTAGATCATTTTGGACCAAAATATTCATGTTTAGTTTTACATTGCTTCCTGCAGTTTTTGGTGTGCTGAACTCAAAAATGACCTTCAAACTTTTCCCAGACTCATATTTAAAGTAGTACATCAGCTTCAGGCACCTAGTCAAGTGCAGTACTGAAAGTCGCGCCTAAAACACTAAAGTGTATGGAAGAAACAATTTTAAAATATTTTATTGGTACTGGATGCATTTTAATTATGTTAAAGAATCAATAGACTGGAGAATTTACTTTAAAAATATTTAAAACTATTAAAAACAATCTCTCAAAGTAGTCAGCTTGACTAGGTTTTGCACAGGGCTGCCTCCTCAAAGCCGACATGCTTAGGTCCCAAGGCTTCGTGGAGAAAAAATTCAGACGCAAAATAACACAGCAAAAGATTATTCACACGTATTCAGACAATTATATTACTTATTTAGGCGATTTTCAGTGTAAGATTTTTAACTCGAACGCGTTTGATAAAGGCATTACTACGCGCGCGGCACGTAAGATTTTGCGCGCGTGAGGTTGGCAACGGGTGGTCCGGCCGGCCGGGCCCAGCTGACGGCTGGAGCCTGTCAAAGCGGTCTCTTTTCGTTCCGACTGTCACTGAAGCACCAGTGGAAACATTGTGAGTTTGCCATGTACGCCGTCCGTGGCAAGTGTGGCTTTGTGAAGAAGTCGAAGGCGGAAAGATGTGGGAAGGTTTCTCGCGTCCAATTCCTGCGGCATTCCGCGAGTCGTCATGAGGTTGTGGCGAAACAACCGGATCACGATCTCAGGAAAGGTCGCCGCATTGTCGATCTGAAAACTTTGGCCACAAACATGTGGTGTGACAATTGCAATGACTCTCTGAGTCTTCGCCATCTGCAGAGCGAGGAGTCTCGTGGGCTTGCATCCATTTTCACTGTGCGATGTCATCGCTGCTTGGCACTTGCCCAAGTGATTTCTGACAAGCCTACACGATCTCCTAAGTCTGGTCGACTTGTATTCTCCGTCAACTGCAAAGCTGCTTTTGGTGAGTTTCAATTACCTTGTTGGGTTCAGTTGCATTTCCGTTCTAGTCCCACGTGTTTTCGGTGCGGGATGTCTGTCCACATGGGCAACATAACCTGTGCTGTCATAGTTTCATTCATCCATTCCTGCATGCATGGTTTGCTTCTTGTCTTCTCCATCAGTAACAAGTGTGCATTTCCTGTTACAGCCTGCATTGACACTGGTGTGGCCCACGACCAGCTGAACAAGTTTTTGTCAGCTGTCAATGTACCTCCTATTCCGAGAAATACCATGAAAGTGGCCGAAGGAATAGTTTCACCTGCTATCATTCAGACTGCTCATAATTCTTGCCAGGAGGCCATAGAGGAAGAAAGGGAATTGACTCTGAAAGCTTTAAGGTAAGTTCATAGGTGTTGTCTTTTGTTGTGCTGGTAGTATGAATGGGAGCAGACTTACGCATTTGTACATTTAGATTTCGTTTGTTTCATATCATGCATTCATTGACAGCCCACATCACTTCACCTTGAGCATCACTGAGGTATCATGTTTCTTTCAATTCCATTTGCACTTCATTGGCGTGCCATTTAATTATCGCACAAATATTTGTGTTGTTTTGTAACTTGACTGACGCTCAATTATTTTCAGAAGTGAAGGCGAGCTTTCTGCTCTTCCTGAAGAACGGGCTGTTGACAATCCAGCATTCAACACATCCAATGCCTCAGACTCTCCAACTGAGCAGATTTCTGAAGAATGGGCTGTTGACGATCCAGCATTCAACTCTTCCTTTGCCTCAGACTGTCCAACTGAGGAAATTTCTGAAGAATGGGTTGTTGACGATCCATTTAACTCTTCCCATGCCTCAGACTGTCGAACTGAACAGGTTTGTAGAGTGACTGCTGTGTGAGCTGCTCTCTTGCTTTTCTCTTGCTGTTTCTAACATGTTTTTGTTTGTATGTTTACCAGGCTGAAGTGAATCAAGATAAGCCGGATGATGTAGTGCCAATTACTTGTAAATACGATTTTGGCTGGAACAAGAGGGGTAATGGCCATGCCTACGATAGTCACAGCGGCCACGGGTCTGCTATTGGAAACTACACTAACAAAGTGGTTGCTTACGATGCAATGAGCAAGTATTGTGCCTTATGTGCTCGTGGCCACTCTGCACAGGACCATGAATGCGCTATAAATTATGGTGGTAAGTGGAGGTGGAGATTCACTATTTGTTATATGCATGGCCATCTTTCGTGTTTCAATAATATTATCTATTCTAACAGGCTCATCGAAAGGAATGGAGCCTTTCACAGCAGTGAAAATACTCCTGAAGAACGAGCAATTTAGCCAAGGGAGAGTTCGGCTAGGAACCCTAGTTGGAGATGCCGATTCATCGACCATGGCTGCACTGAGTAGAGAGAGCGCCTTCCCCATTAGAAAGTTTTTAGACTTGAATCATGGTCTCAAGGCATTTTCCAGGGCACTATGGGTTCTGAAGAAAAGTACTTTCAAGTGGCTCACTGCTGAAGCTATCAAGAATTTGACAAGCCGTTGTCTGGGTTATGCCTTGGCTCAGAATAGAGGGGATGTTGAAGCTACAAGGAGGGCTATCATGAACATTCCAGAGCATGTGTATGGTAACCACACTTCCTGTGGCGACTGGTGCAAGGCGAAGGATAACCCTAATTATGTCTTCAAAGATTTTCCCTCAAAGCAGCCTCTAAGGGACCCAGCATTCAAGGCAACTCTTATCAAGGTATTTTCTTGTTGCTTTACGATCTGTGAGTGTTTGTGGCTGTAGCGGCATTGTCTAATTACTTTGTTTTCCAATTTCTAGATGCTACAAGATATGGCAGACAATGCAGAGCAACTTGCTCCTGGTGGATCCACTCAGCAAAACGAGTCATTCAACCACATGGTTGCTACAAGAGCACCTAAGTCTCGTCACTATTGTGGCACCAACTCCAACTATTTACGAGTATCTGCCACAGTTTCCTACAAGAATTTGGGAGCCGAGCACAGTGAGGCAGTTTTCAAATCCGCCAACTTGTCCCCCACCGTCAATGCCTTCAGGGTATCTGTGCAGAGACGTAGGGAGTGGAAGGCTCGTTACCAAAGCAGGCTTGACGACAAGAGAAGACGACTCCATCTCAAGACCAAAAACCTCTGGGCAGAAGCAGATGCTGCACGTAAAGATGGACCAAGTTATGAGAGTGGCATGAGTGGTGTCATGGAACGTGCAGTTGCTAGTTCTGATTGCTCAAGTGACTGGCTTCCTCCTCCCTGTGACATTTCTCCTGATTGTGCTGTAGTGTATGTGGACATTGAGACAACTGGATTTCTTGCAACGGACCAGATTGTTCAGGTAGCTGCAAAGTGTGGTGACAGACAGTTCTCAGTATTCATGATGCCAACGGTTTCATTTCATGCGATAGCTTCTGCCAAAACTGGCTTCAAGGTCTTCCGTGGAGAACTCATGTATAGAGAAGAAGTGCTCACCACTACTCCTCCTCTCAATGCTGCAGAACAATTCATCACATTCCTTGCAGAGTGTGGTCCGCAAGTTTTGCTGGTAGGGCATAACATCATTCGCTTTGACGCTCCACGAATTGTTCAGTGGTTAGAAGATTTGTCCTGTCTCAAAGACTTCTGTGAAGTGGTTTGTGGCTTTACTGACACTAAGCCTCTCATCAAGCAGGGTAAGGTGGGTGGTCAAGAGGAGCTCGCCAAGACCTATCTTGTTGGACCAGAGTGGGAAGTGCACCGTCAAGGAGCTCATAATGCTTCTTCAGACGTTATCCTACTTGAAGGCTTAGTGCGCCACTTTAAAGTAGGTGTGAACACCCTGAAAACCTCTGCAGTGTCTTCAAGAGAATTTTTCATGAACAGAGCCATGCTGAAGAGGAGGAGATTTTTGCTACCGCAGCTGGCAGAGCTCAAAGGCAAAGTCTCTGACCTCATGATTGGGCGAATGGCAGCTCATGGTGTAACCATTTCAGACTTGCAGCGTGAGTTCGACAAGAATGGTGTGCCTGGGCTCACCATCTTCCTTGGCATGCACATCAACGGTAAACCTCGTGTCACAGCTAGCAAGAAGATAGTGAACGCCATTGCTGAGCACATCAGTGGCAAAGAGAATCTGCCTCCATTGTGAGTGGCAGTGTCTTTTATTTATTATATGAAGTTGTTGTTCGACGCCAAGTACATTAGTGGTACTGAGAATTTGTTTGAATTGTGACTGGCAGTGTTGTGCACTATGTATTGTGAAGTGTAAATATTGTTTATAGTTTTGTCAGTTGTGTCAATAATTGTGATATTTGTAATGGAGCCATGAAGTTTTCCATTAAAAGGAATGATGATCTCAAGTGTTTGCTGTTCCTTTCCTCTCTTTCCTTGGCCCTTACAAGTCTAAAGCCTCACTTACACTGAAATCACCAAAACTCTTTACCCAAAAACCCAGTGGCTGACTTAGTAAGGCATAGGAGAAGTAACAAATTCCATAATTCAAGGTAATACAATGAGGGCCAGAGTCACTAGTCCAATACACAAGTAGAAAATTAAAAAAAAAAATTATTCAGTAATCTGGTTTTTTTATTTGATTCAATACTTTATTTTTCGAAATGACAGATCAAAAGAATGTGTAGCTATCCAAAAATGTCTGCAGCAGGCAACGTTCAACCTGACAGGCCTGCCAGCGGAGGGCCCCGCCCGACCCGACGGTGGCGGTCTCTCCCGAGCGTTTGAATCTCGGCGACTTTCCCGGCCCCGCAAGTTTCCCCGCACGCCGCTGGCGGAGGGGGCGCCAAGCGGCCGGAAGGGCAGCCGACGGCCGAATTTCAGGCGGTTTTTTGCTTAGATATTTATTATTTGGTCAGGAACTGCCTTGTTTTCCGCAATATTATGAAACTTTGTTACTTTTCCTAGCCGTAGATAAGTTTTTCTCGAAGCTGTTAATACTCTATGTACCTTTATTTTCAAATTTACGGGTCTGGTCGGGAGGTCTCCCATAAGAGCCCATGTTAAAAAGTCAAACTTTAAGTTAACTTTACTCAAAATTGAGCCCAGGAAGATATATTTTGAAGAGTGCCATCGTATTCAGCGCGCTTTTTTCTATTGATATGATTTAAAATTAGGACTTTTTCAATACTTTTATGTAGCTGATGTACTACTTTAACCGAATTTTGACCAATTTTGGACTAAAATTTTTAAATCGAGTTTGACATTGATCCCAGCAGTTTTTGGTGTTCTGATAACGAAAATCACTTCCATTTGTACCCCTGGTCTAAAGTTCACTGAATATGAGCCCATAAGATGGACATTTCGTCTACTCAAGCAAAGTCCAAAGTGCACAAAAAATGTCAATTCGCATCGCTCAGCCACACTACGCGCCCAGACTGAACGGCGCGTACCCCTAGTGTATTACCGTTGCATACCTACGTTCTTCTGGCCCAATTAAATATTGGGCAACGCCATGCTGCTGCGCTTGTCATCTTGTTGTCAAAGTTTTGTGGGTCGAATCCTACCAGCGCCTCTGGGGTTTGTTTTGCCCTGATTCAGCTCCTTTGGCGCGGCGGGAGGTACCCAAAGAACAGAAAAAGGTCACGATGATGTCAAATGATAAGTGACAAGATGACATCATTGCCGACGGTCAAAGTTAGCGATTTTTGACGTCAAGTGCATGTCAATTGATATCCTTTTATTGAATATGATATCTTATGATGTAAATTTGACACAAAATACCGAGACAAATTCTAGTCTTGAGGGGTCACTGATGCAGAGCGTGACTAAATTTTATCAATTTTAGCTCACTTGACGTCAATATGACCTTTTTCTGTTCTCTGGGTATGCCTGCGGATTGTAGACTATCCGTAGGCACATATAAGGTTTGCGAAAAAAAAAGTGTTGGCATTGCAGAGAAATTTCCTCTCAGACTGCCGGGTCATTCCATGCCAACTCGACAGGGCTCGGACCGACACCTTGTCGGAGGCCATCGCCATAGTGGGCGATTGTTGGCCTTATGGTACCATTAGAAGACCCCAACTCAGTTTTTCGAAATCTGCACCGGGCTCCGAACTACGGCCTGATGAAGTTCTTCACATACATGACGACATGGGTGCACTAAAATACAATTATCTCGGCAACCGTTCGTCGTATCTCAAATCCGAGACCACCATTGAGAAAAAACTAAACAAAAATTTCGTTTTCGTTTTTTTTTTCGAATTAAAAAAAATGTGAAACTTCAAAAAAGGTGTAGCTTTTAAAGTGTGATATCTCAAAAACCCATATTTTAAAATCTCTCAAAAAATTCCAAAATCTTCCTTTATTTATCATTTAAAAGAAAAGCTCAACCACCCAAAGTATTATTCTTCGTTTGGGAGAACGAGCAATTCGCGTGTACTCATACACTGCCAACCCAAGTGTGAGACAGTCTCACACTATTTAGTGCGAACCACGTGGTCTCACGCTTGCAAGTGTGAGCCACGTGTGTCCCACGCTTGCAAGTGTGAGACACGGTATGTCTCACACTTGCAAGCGTGAGACCTGGTTTTTCTCACACTTACCAGCGTAGGTCCTGTGGCATTAAACCACAGGGAACCATAGGCAGTAAGTGTGGGACAAACCGTGTCTCTAAGTGTGAGACAAATGATGTCTCACACTAGCAACCGTGGGACAAACGTGGCTCACACTTGTAAGCGTGAGACATTGTGGTTCGCACTAAATAGTGTGAGACTGTCTCACACTTGGATTGGCAGTGTATGTACACCAGAATGTTAAGTTAGGTGCAAGCGTGAGACAAACGTGGCTCACACCTTGTAAGCGTGAGACAAAATGTCCCACACCTACAAGTGTAAGACTGCACTGCAATATCAGATGTGTGCTTAGTACACAGCTGTGGGAGTATACTTGTAAGCACACAGCTATAGGAGTATGCTTGGGTAAGCATACATCTATAGAAGTGTGCTTGACAAGCATACACCTACAGATGTGTACTTGGGCAAGCATGCATCTATAGCTGTGTACTTGGAGAAGCATGCATTCATCTCACCCATTTAAAAGCACACAGCCATAGATGCATGCTTGCCCAAGTACACTTCTATAGATGTATGCTTCCAAGCATACTCCCACAGCTGTGTACTAAGCACACATTTGATTTTGTAGTGTGTCTCACAGTTGGATTGGCGGCGCACTGACATTGCTTTGCGAATTGACCACGATTGTCTTCATAATGCCTTTAATTTCCATCGTCTGTCCTCTTTCTGCCGGCGTCTCGTTCACAGCAGGAAATAACCACAACAAAAGTACACAAATTTCTGACAAATTTTTTATCAGGAATTTAGTGTACTTTTCAAGTACAACAATTGTTGTACAAAGTACAATGGAACCGGCATGACGAGTGCTGTGCAGTCCAGGGCTCGTTGTGGTTG